CAAGAACCTTAAATGCAAATATCAGCATTTGGTGAAGCTACCATGTACTGATATAAGAGTTTATACTTGTCGCAGTATTGAATCAAATAGGTTTTTTAACATGAATGTGAGGAACATGATTTCCTATTACTTCTATTCTAAGCTAAAGTTGATCTACATTGGCTCTAAGATGAGTGTCACAAATTAATTGCCAACCCACAAAATCCCGGAAATGTTCAATTGGTGACATATCTCCTGAATGCACAGGTCAAGGAAGAAGCAGTATAAGACATGCTGAGAAGTCTTGAACATTTCACAACTTGTAAAGGGTATAATGCCTTGTATGTGATGTGCATATGAAACAATGAACTTGAGAATAAAAAAAAGTTGCAAAGCTGGTAGCAGACCAATATCCAGGAAGCACTGAAGGATATGACTTCAGGCTCAGCAATCTCCCTGATACAGCAATTGCTGGTGAAAGTACCTTCAATTCTTAGTTGATGAAATTGCACATCATATCCAGTGATGGTACAACATAATGCACTCTAAAAGATGGCCATCATTTTATTCCAAATTGAAGCAAGCTTTATTATAAAAGATGATCCGTTGCTAACTGGTGCAACAGGGGCTGTGTTGAAATTGCAATTGAAAGCACTAATGCTTTTGCATCAGGAATCCTGCATAAAGGAATGCATGTTCACAATCTGGTGACACAATAGATGCCAATGAACTGCTGAAGCTAATAATGATACATCTATAGCATGGCTGTTAACATTGGTCCAGTTGTAAAGATGAAGTTGCAATTCCTGTAACTGTCACATGGATGAGATGTCAGTCATCCCAGACTGATGTAATATTTTCTGGTCTGCTACCAGCTTTGCAACTTTTTTTTATTCTCAAGTTCATTGTTTCATATGCACATCACATACAAGGCATTATACCCTTTACAAGTTGTGATTTCGTGATAAAAAAAATCCTTCTCCTTGCAGATTTACTATTCATCACTGTTTAACTTCTTGTGAAATGCTTCTTGTAACAGTCTCTGAATTTAGGGACTAACTAATTTTCCTCCTTTTACTTTCATGTTGGTAGGCATTAAAAACTAATTTGCGAGTTATGCAAAATATTCTTCTTGTCCATAGCATTAATAAAGTTTTCATTCGGCATAATTTCATATGTAGAGGTGGTAGCAGTATGTCCAAAGCTGATGCATTAAGTGAATATAATCTAAATGGTGGAAGTGACATTTATTGTTATTTCTTCTAGTACATTTATGTCTAACAAGTCTTTCCTTGATTATCTTGTAGAATATTGTGATTGATATGTGCATATGTACACATATTTACAAGGAACAATGTTTCCAATTACCACTTTTCTCTTGGATATACATTTTTCTTCACCCATTTGTTCAATATGTAAGAAACGTTTTTCATTTACTGATAATAAATAAGTGTAATTATTAGTACAATTCAAAATTTAATGATATATTGTGTGCATAATGATAAAAGCTCAAGTCTCAAAAAAGGGACTTTTGGGAGGAAGTTTTACAAATTTCCTTCTATTTTGCCTACATTTTGCTTTGTAGCTACATTATTTGAAAGTACATTTTATTATAAATAAAAAAAGGTGCAATTTACTACATGATGATTATTGGTACTTTATGTGAATACCTTTAACTTTCATATGCAAATATCCTAGTGTCAAAGAAGTTTTAATGATTTACTCTATAATGGAGACTGATGGAATATTTTTATATTTATATTTTTAGAAGTGCATAAATATTATCATAAATTATCTTTGTTTGGCTATATTACTTTGTTAACTAGTATAATTAAATGAATTCTGTCTAACTATGGAGAAAATGTCTATACTGTCTTGTGTGACTTTTTCTTCTCAAAGTTTTATCTTTGAAATTCCCCCCCCCTACAAATAATAATAGCTGAACTTGATTTAAAACCTTTGGCAGACCAATAAGCAAAGCTTAGTTGTTAATTTTAATGCTATGTTTTCAGGAATAATATGGTGGATACAGTTACTGCATATAAATTATCAGTGTACATTCGGCTTTTAAAGCTTTCTTACACTTGCCAGGTAGCAGCAAAACTTTAGATGTTGAAATATATTTCACGGCTGCAGTGACTGGTTGAAATATATTTCACAGCTGATTAAGATATTTCATCAATCACCTTTTGGCATAGAAAGTTAGAATTCTATGCCTACATTGCTTGTGAATGTAACTCAATGTTTCTTTATGTTAGCAAAGTTTTCCTTGTGATGTCTGTGATTAACCTTACAAAAACTTACACAGAGATTCTTATTATTTTCAGCATACACATTAGAAAACATGCATTGTGAATCACACCTGTAATAGCATCACAATCATAAATTTTTAAATTAGCAATATTAATGCTTTTCAAATATACTAGAATTGGAAAACTGACAGTTTATTTTAATTGGTTTTGATGTTTACAATGTTTAAAGTAAGGTTTATTTATTTCGGACCAGATATTATGAAACTTTTTTGTCGTTTATGTTTACCTGTGGATTATAGAAGCTACTTACCTACTTAGCACAAGGAATAGCTCTGTGCTGTTGGATTCTCTATAACATGCAGTGCATGTTTATGGTTTGTAGTTCCTAAATGTACTTTTCCTGGTCCTCACAAATCTAGGCCAAATATTACATATATATAATATATATTCTATGCAGTATATTGCATATATATATATGTATATAATATATATTCTATGCAGTATATTGCATATATATATATATATATATATAATGTTGTATGAATTTAAATCCATTTAGTGCGATATTGAGATAATAAAAAACCTGAGCACTTAACATGTTTCATACACTTTTTCTTATAATATGCAGATTAGTTTGAAATTCTCCATATAGAGGGAAAATGCTGACTTTTATGGCGGACTAGCTTCATTAGCATGTAATTTATAATTATACTATAGGTTAGATTTTTAGATATAACTTCATCATGTGTATTTTTTCACTGGTCTGTAGATTATACGAGTATGTGTCTGCAATAAGAAAACAACGTAGAGCAATCAAATATGAACAAGCCTTTATTGGTTGAATGGCAGGATGGGTATTTGTATGTGTTTGGGCAGTTGAAGTTGTTAGGTGGGGCTGCCTAGAGTAAGGGAACCACACCAGCTGGCTTGTCCCATGCTGTAGTAGCCCTTATGATGACTGAGAAGAGTGTGCCCATCTTTATAGAGCAATGCCTAATTATAAAGTTCCTTCTCCATGAAAACATGAAACCAATCAAAATTTACTATAGACTCCATGCCCAATTCGAGGAAACTATCCTTTCATGGTCAAGAGTAAAGGTTTGGGGGAATGAGTTCAAGCAAAGCTGTGAATGTGTTTCAAATCAAGGTCATTCTCGTGGTACTCGCACCAGCGCGACTAATGAAACACTGCATGTGTTTGTGAGCTCACTGAATGTAATCGATGCTGCACAGTGCTTTGAATTTCAGTAGAACTTCGCATCAGATATGAAAGTGTCCAATCAGTCATCAGAAAAGTCTCAGCTCATTAGGTTCCAATCACTGGTTTTTGATGATGATAAAAAAAAAAGCAGACAGATTTTGCATTTCCCAGTTGCTTTAAATAGTTCTGAAGAAGAAGGGGAAGTTTTTTTTTTGTATAGGATTGTCACCTATGACAAGACATTGACTGCAATGGGAAAGTGGCCATGTTTTTTTGGGACTGGAGGGGGGTCTTACTGGTAGATATCTTACATTTTCACAGCCTGGCTGTGGTCTTTTGGACCAAGTTAGGCTTCAGTATTGACGCAAAAGATGAAATTGTCCCATCCACGAGGTGTTGATCCTCTTACACAATGCCAGACCATACACAGCAGGTGTGACACAGCAGAAACTGGTTGAAATGCACCAGAAAATGCTTAATCATCCACCTTACAGCTCAGACTTATGTGATTTTCACATGTTTGGAGCCTTCAAAGAAGCTTTTGGAAGCAAGCAATTGGAGACCAAAGATCGAGTGGAAACTTTTGTGCACTGCTGCTTAGATAACCAGCCAACTTCCTTATATGAGAATAGAATGAAAAAATTAACAAAATGTTGGCAAAAATGTATCATAAAAGGAGGAGATTATTAACAGCCTCATTTCTATTTGATTCACCCTCGTATTTTTGGCTCATATTTTGGGGTATAAAAGAAGATTAATTTTAGGTTACAGTTGTGATGAAAATGGTATAAAAACTAATACTTTAAATTAAAAAAAAATTTTCTTTGCATATGATTTTGAAATATTCTTTGATATTAGGAAAACTATATAATTTCAGTAGGATTATAAATTAAGTGATGATTCTTTGCTTATATACACATGAATTCTGTGACATCAAAAGGAGTTCAGTATGAAAGATTTATACTAACATATTCAAAATATTGTCAATTGGAACACCCAATAAAAGTAATACACTGATGTTAATCTGTTTGTTAATAATAAGGTTGAAAAGATAAACAACCAAAAAAGGTTGATGGTGCAACGATTAGAATAACATAATTGACCTGTAGTGCCCATTGAGAGGTGAAGCAGGTGAAAGAATAATAAATAAAATAACCTAACTCATCCAGTTTTTATGAAAAATATGACAAACATTCTCAAAAAGGTAAAATTTTACTATTTTTAATGTGTCATCCTGGATGCTACAGAGGCTAGCAATTCCTTATTCAGTTGTTAATTTGAGCTATATTTTACACAAGTTTGAATCATGCACACTTCTCAAGGATGATATCAATGAGGTGTATGCTCTGGAGCAACTCTCTCAGTTATTAGAGAGTTAAACGACTGAGGGTTTGAACATTCTTGAGAAGCAAGTATCTGGTCATTAAAAAATTAATGTTTGATAAAACATATTTTTAACATATTAATGTAAAAATGTTGGAGAACTAACTTAAATTTTTTAATCCACTGATAACAAGTCTGCGCCAGAATTATATATGTATGTAACATGGCTTCATATTATATGATAATTTTTGAATGTCTTAAACAAAAATTTTATTTTTGTTAAAACTTTGCTTTAATTAATGGACAGCATAAATTATAAAATGAACTATGATGCAAAGAACCAATATTTTGCCACTTGATCCAACCATCACTTTGAATCCTTTCTTTAGATATTTTATGACCGTAAAAATGAGGATCCTTAAAAGAACAACAGTTATATGAACAAACATGTTATTAAAAATTTTTCATAGTGATTTTTTAAAAATATTATCATTTTAAATATAATTTATGATAAAATATAATTAATAAAATTATACATATATAGGATTATAAATATCTTCCATAATTTTATACAGAATAAAAAGCAATTTAATTTTTTATCTCAACTATTTGTTTCAGAAAGAACATTCAATCTAAGGTTCTTCAATGTTTCTTACTAAATTTTTAATTCAATCAGCAAGCTATGCTAAATGATCAAATAGGCTGTTTATAGAATAACACTGTTTTATATATATCTATATATGTGTAAGATAAAAAATATGAAAGCAAACTTCTAAATTTAATCACTATAGCCACTCTTACTTTTATTTCACTTGGGCACTTCCTCTTTCTATCTTAAAAATAGTGCCATAAGGCTAAACAAGCAGGCATCATTCAAATTAATCATGCGATCTTACATAACCCTTAATGCAGATATCTCTTGACCAATCACCAAATTGTAAACCAAACTTAAAACTGAAACTGTTTGACTCCTCCTCTCTTCCTCTGCATTACTACTGCGACACTCTTTCTCTTCTCGCTTACGCTTTCATGCTGTTCAGGCGCTGCTGCAATCATGTTCTTATCATCATAGTATCAAAATTTTAAATGTTCTTTAATAGGCACGAGTAGAGTGGCAAGTGATTGTGGCCACAAGTGAGTTTAAATAAATAATAGAATTTAATCCACCTCGACTGCTTATTCTTCAAAATGGATGAATGCTCTAAGCATCAAGTATCTATGCCATCAGCATTTCTGCATCTCAGTGTTCTTACATCAATGCTTTCAAAAGTGTGCTAATATTATATATATATATATATATATATATTGAGCATATTTCACTTTACGAGTTATTTAAATAATAACCAAATATTAATGCAGTACATGGGAATTAAACTAAAAATGTAAACTAATGACAATGGTGGCTTCAGAAATTTTGAGCCAGAAGCTTATAACCTAGAAGACAAGCCTCTTTTTGAGAGGTATATAAACCTAGACTAGGACATCCTGCCAACATTAGGAGAATAAAATCCCATTGTAATTATTAAGAACTAGCAGAGAATAATGGAGAATATATTCTTCATTAAAAAGGAACTTTGTCTTAATTTTGAGAAATAAAAAGAAGTATAAAAAACCACATTATTTATAGAATGAACAAGTATTTTCATCATATGCTTTCTGATGATATGAAAATTAAAAAACTGTTATATTGGAAGATAACAAACACACTAGAAATGTTTATTTCTATTATTTTACTTTTTAATAAAATTTCAATCATAAAAGAGCTTACCAAAATTAATAAGCATATATCATCCTTTGTTTTGCTAATACCAAGAATTCCTTTAGAAGAGCAATCTTTATCTCCACCTATTCAAAAATTATCACAAAATCACTGTAAATTAGAAGCTAAATAAGAACATATAAAATGTCACTTTTTTCTAAAAAAGAATACTCCTCTGGCTGAAGTTAAATGTTTGTTATTATATATTACATGTAATGTGTATTAAATATTTTAGGTTTTTCTGTTATTGCATGTATAATAAATATAGCAAAATTAATACACATTTTAAAATATTCAGATCTTAGTAGTTAAAGCTACATGAAGTAATCCAAGAATATTCTTAAATTTGCTGAAAAAATCCTAGTCATAATACAATTAAGACTATTCAGAATATTTTACAGCATTTACTACCATTTAATAAGAAAACTCCGAAAATATAGGTATTTTCAAAGAATTAACAATGACCAAATTATGAATCTATACATAAAAGAGTTTTTTGTTGCTATTGATTGCAAATATGCTAATATAAAACAGCAAGAATACAACAGAAAACTTTGAATAAACTGATATTTCAAGATATACTGATTACAAGATTTTGTAATTCTGATTTTGTGTAATTAATAGTCTAAAAATAATTAAAGAAATATAACAGGGAAATATAAAATATTCTGAATTACAAGGAGGTTAAAATAATATAGTGATAGACTCCTGATTAGCTGAGATAATACTAGAATGACATATGTAATTAATCCAAAATCATGTTTAATTGAACAGAAATTATGTATTATAATTAACAGGAAAATATTATTAAGGTTTTACCTGCACTTTTTATGCATTTCAAATTGGAGAATAAGTTTATTTGGTTATGTAAATTAAACCATCATTCAAACAAAAACACATTTCCAAACATATAGTTTTTGTTTATATTACTCTAATATTTCGATTGGAGTCGACAGGAAAATGGAAGGTTAATGGATATATGCTTATTTTTTAATGAATATTTTAGCAATGTTTCTACATTCCAGGTTTATGCACTGCTGTGGATAAAAACAATTCCTAAATACTGCGACATCATTTGTTATTACTTTTATTATTCCATGCATTTTCTATTTCAATTTTATATTTCCTATAGAAATTTTGCTACATTCTGATGATTCGGACTCATAATTTTTCCATCACTAAACAATAAACAAATTTAACTTTTTTTTTTAGACAAGGCTTAGTTAATTCACAGTCTGCCGATAATTTCTGGGAACTGACTAATCTGTTTGATGTGCATTGACTTAATGGTAAAGACATATATAGAATAAATAATACAGCAAACTTTCATCTTTTTTCTGATCAAATGATATATAGTACATTTTGTAGCAAGAAACAGTTTAGCATGCAAGTAAAATCCGTTTCTTCTTTAGAAGATTTCCCCATGTGTAACGTGTATACGAGCTAGTTCCCTTTGAAAGTCCTCCACGAAGGCATCCCTCCCCTTAGGCAGATAGCTCTTGAGGCTTTGCCGTAATTAAATAACCTAACCTAACCTAACCTTCTTTAGAAGAAATAATTATCATTTTTCTAACAAATGATTTAGAATAACTATAGTACAGCATGTATAATTTGCAGGCATTATAAGCCCTGCTTAATGTGATTATGTTTGTCAATGATAATATTAAAAAATAAGAAAAAAAAAATGTCCTTCAAAATTAGCAATAAAATTTAACTAATTTAGTAAAAATATATCTAGAAACATACAAATATATACTTTCACAGCATTTTAATTAGGAAAAGGCACTGTTCATAATATTTTTAATGGAAAAGTTCATTTATGAATTGCTTATAACACTTCTGAAAGTTATTTGACCAATGCTGCACACAAGATCTTAATACTTGGGGGAGGGGGGTAACACTTTTTTGAAAGAAAGAAAGCCAATATAAAATTAAAAATTATGAAAAAAAATGTAGATGTTTTTATTAATTTATTTTCAGGAGCAAGGAAGAAGAGGAACTTGTCTCTGAGAACCCTCAAAATCTACGCCAAACTAAAGCTACTTTTTTTCTTTGGTTTTGTTTGCTTGATTTTAAATCATTGACTAAAATCAAAACCAAGCTGTATGGTGACTTAGTCTCTTACTTAAGGACATTTCTTTGCTACCTGGAACTTTTAATAATCTATTTTGACCTTATTTGGCAACCTTACTTCAGTTTAAAAAAAAATTATTACTATTTTGATTATAATGATTGCATTGTTGATCACAATAATGGAGTGTTTTACATGATTTCATATACAAATGGGCCAGACTTTGTGGATATTATAGCAATATCCGAATGAATACCCTTAACCGGGATCCCATTAAGTACCATCTACTGTATATAAAATCTATTTTTTAGAACATTATAATATACCATAGTAACTTAAAACTATCAACCTGAAATATTTTCACTTTTACATGTCTCTAATTGCTATTTTGTAGAGAAATACATGTAAAAATATCTGTAAACAAAAATAATTAACATAATACTGATAACAATCAGAATTTCTAAATTCCAGTACCCATTAACACAAAAAATATTACGTAAATCTCATTTCAACAAAACTCTGCAGACTGTTTTAATAGTTATATGTTGGTGATAATTTTTTTTTAACTCAGCTGTTAATTTTTTTAATTGGCAATCTTAAAGCAATTTTTTCTCCCCTTGCAATTAAAAAAAATAGCATATTAAAGACATCTATTTTGCTCAAAGGTATATTTATTTAATGAAACATAATTTTTTTTTTAAAAATATAATAAAATTGAAGCATTTATATGCACACTGAAACCTATTAAATATTTGAAACCAGAGGCCAAAAATTATTTATTAGAAATCTGCATCTTTATTTTATGATTACTTACCAGCAAGCAAAGTTAAAAATATTAGAAACAGAATAATTCATTAAAACTGTCAAAACAGAAAATTATTAATACTTTTCAGCTACATTTATATTATGCTTGGCTAAAAAATAGTAAAACTAAAATCACATAATTTGAATTTATAAAAATGAATAGCATATCCAATAAATACCAGAAAGATGAAATTTCCAATTTATAATACCAGAAAGTTGAAATATGCATCAAGAAAGTATAAATATACTCTTTATGTTTTAATTTATATTTTTTATGTGAGAGAAAATAAATAAAACACATATTATCCACCAAAAGGTATTTTTGGCAGCATTAAGTATTTAAAAACTATTGTATACTTACCCATCATAATTGGACTTCCATATTCTTGAAAATGATCAAAAATACTTTTAAATTGTTTTTTAAGATCTTCAGTACTTCTAGCATGAATAATTCTGGATTCAACCTGAAATAATATTTATATATAGTATATATGTATGTCACATATATTGCACATACATACACTTCTGAATCCGGCCCTGATAACAGAATAATACCCATAAAAATTTACAACATAATTAAACAATTTTATTTTGTTCTCAATTTTGTGAAAAAAAATCAGGCTCATCAGCTGCTTTCAGATTGTGCATTCGGCTTGCATACAATTTGAGTTAAGACCATTGCTGTAAGCCACTTGCTGTCATGCTTTGTTAATCAAAGATAAGCAATGGAAAGTATTAAGTGATGTTTCTCCAAGTCTCTGAGTGTTAGTTATGTGGCATAGGTTACTGTAAAACAATTTTGAAAAATAAATCTTTGAAAATTATATGTTGCTGAGTTGAGTGTTCATAACTCAAGCATTTGTTGTTTCTTTGTTCACATAATTTCTTTGCAAAAAGAAAAATTTATGATCTGAGGTACTTGTGGTCTGAGGTTCCACTATGATTACTGAAATTTCAATATATCATTGTAACCTCAAAGATTTATTTTTAAAAATTCTTTATACCAATTTGAAAAAGTAACCATGAAGGGGTTTTCTTCCACAAAGAACCCATTGGCAACAGTGCCGTTTTATCGCCAAGGTTTCAGCAATATACAGTTAAGTTTTGAAATAAAACTAAAGCATATATGTGTATATAAGAATTTAACAAACATTGTCTATTCATAAAAACAAATTTAAAGTTTATTAAAATTTAAATTCTAAATTATTAAATTTTAATAGCAAACAAAGGTACTTTTCCATTTCGCCGGCACAAATCTCGCCAAGCAGACTGTCACGGACACCAGATTTACTATGTTGCAAATCTCAGGACTATAATGCACAGGTTACAATTAAATAATCACAGCAGGGATTATTAATATAAAGATTTAATATGGATATCTAACACAAGCTGAAAACGTTACATTACTCTATCAAGTGCATACATTTAACTGAGTGAAAAGGGAATTTCCCTGCTTAGTTCGCAGTTAAAGGAAAAAAAATAAGAATAATAAAAAATAGTACAATCAAATGCAGTGCTTCTTCTGTGGACTTCGCACAGCCATTACGTAATCGTCTGTCTGCAGCAGCCGTCTCCAACACAGACTTTATTGGCAACAACACACAGTATACACATAAAAAATGTAGATAAATGTTAGTTGTAAGAATTTTTTATTTCAAAGGTATAAACATTTTACTGTCGTTTAAAATTTTGTAAAAAATCCAGTAAATAAAGACAAATTTGTAAAAGGACATTAATTTAAGAATTTACTATGCTTTTCATGGTAAAATATTCTGATTCGCCGGTTCATATCATGTGACCGCAAGTGTTCTCATCTCATGTAAACTATGCTACAAAAATCTAATTCTCTCAGTAATTATCTACATTAATTTCAAGTTAAATCTTAATTTGGAATACAATAATGCAAGAATTATTTCAGTCGTACGAATAGCTTACTCAGTACTTCACTAGTGCATTCTCATTAGAATTGATGAATTTAACCCTTGAATTTGCCTTTTCTATATATTCGCCTTCGGGTGAGTGGTGTGATTGCATCGTAATTGACCAATTATTGCGAATGGCCTTAGGGCATAAAATTTAACTCTCTGGTAAAAATTCTATGTAATTGTATGCCAGTATTGAAAGAAACCATCAATCTGATAAGAAATAGCTGCGACTTGTTTTGAAAATGAGGCGTGAAAAGTTATCAGCAAGGATATTCTGTTTGGCATCTGTTGTACCATTATTGCCATCTTTGTCGTCTGCGCTGGCTAAACAGAAAAGTACCCAAACAAATAAATGATTATTTATTGCTGAAAAGTAATCTACAATACCATTTAAATTCTGAGAGCATACGTAAATTAAGTGCAAGTATCAAAATCCATGAATAAATATAAAATATCGCAAAAAAAAAAAAAAAAAATTATAAAAAATTTTAAGACTAAATTAATTTGCATAGTAAATAATTAATGAGCAGGCAGGAAACAAATCTTATCAAGGGGAAATTGCCTCCAAACCTAACTCTTCAATTACTCAGTTCGTATTTCGTCATCCATATACCCATACAGCAGCACACTTAGTTGCTATGACGTTGCAGTGACCTCTCAATGTTGCATTTTCTTCACATTACATTCATTACCATGGTACAACTTTACAGAAATGTCACATTGTGATGTGGATGTCGTATGGATGTCACATACACGTCACAGCAAACGTTTAGTGTGACGACAAGAAATTCGCAGTCTTTCCCACCCTGACCTTTCTCACATAATTCTTCTTTAATGGGAGGTATTCCTGCGCACTGACCTCCCTCCCCCCGATTCATTGCTATGTGCTTCAGTAAACCTTTCTAAATGAATTAGTCTTTTATACTAATAGCTTACAATTTTAGTTATTTCTTTTTTATTAAAAATATTAACAGTTTTTAGCATGTTTTTATTGATGTGGTACTTAATCATTGAACTATATTCTGTGGTGAATGGATTCACGTTCTACCATATCTAGTGTTATCAAGAGAGACTGACGAAAGAGTTTGTTGTCTGCATAGCATTTGTCTTCAGGATTTTCACGACCATTTTTTTAGTTCTGTTCACCGAACACATCATCTGTGCTACATTTTCAGGTAAGCACTGTTTATTGTACATTGAAGTGAATGATATCAGTAATAATTAATATGTAATAATAAAAGAGTAATTTAAATGCTATGAACGAAAAGAAATACTGGCAGTAGACTAACTTTTATTTGTATTACAAAGAGTACGGATTCAAGGGCCATTATCAAAAGTCATCTTATTTTTGTCTGACTGCTTAGAAATTTTAATTTAGGGAGTCAGGTTTATTTGGTAGATAAAATTCACTTTTTGTTGTTTTTAATGTTAAAAGATAATATGAAAATAAATTGATTTTATGAATTTTACTGCAGTACTTTCATTGTGTTTTCGAAAATTATTCGAAAATAATTACTTACTTTCATGCATGGTACTTAGCGCCACATTATAGATGATGCAAGAATTTCATAACCACGTTTTAGTTATATAGAATAGGTTTTTTAATTATTATAACTTTACAAATGGTGTATTACTTTAAAACACTGAAATTTTTCTACACCGTGTTTCCTATATGTAAATTTCCGAGATTAGTTTTAAAATTTATTATATCAGATCTTTTCTTTTCACAAATTATGTCAAACTTTTATGTATAATATATTTGTATTGTTAAAGTAACCCAATTTCCTTATTTAGATTTTACATTTAGTTAGAGAAAAATATTTCCTAGTTTAGGTCAAATTATTTGAATATGGCAAAATATACGAGGGCTGCCTACTTAAGAGAAGGTATGCCTTTGTGGAGGACTTTCTAAGGAAACTAACTCGTATTCACTTTTTATATTAAGAGAAACATGAAAACCTGTGCAAAAGTATTTGTTACTTGAGAGATTAAGAGAATATATTTATGATATTAATTTTTTAAATAGATACATAAATTATTTAAATGATAGCAATATAAAAATAAGGAAATTACATTTCATCTTTACTTATATATGAAGGAAGTTAAAATTTCACTTGTGACAAAAGAGATAGTAATTTGTCTCTAAAAGTACAAGTTACCTCATGTTAAAAAAAAAAAAAAAAAAACGAATTTAAAATTGTATTTTAAGAAAATTTAACCTATTGCAGACAATTTTATAAATGTAATGAAAATTACTATAAATTGAAATGTATATTTAAGCTTCACCAATAAACTTTATTCGAAATAATAACTTTATTTTAAATTAATATATTTCACTTCTGCAAACAAGGTATTTTATTTTATTATTATAAACTTTAAAATTACATCTAATTTAATTATCTCAGCTTATCACATGTAGTTTTTCTTTAATGTATCATTTGCAGAAATAGACATTGAAAAGATACTAATTTCTGCAATCGTATTTAAAAAGCTTAGAAAAATTAAGAAAGGAATCTTTCACTAAGGAATTTAAAAATTTCAGGAGAATTTAAAAAAACAGATTTTAAGGTAAAATATAGCTTCGTGGAATTATTTTTATGGGAACAGACCTCAGTTCTTTGCCGCATTTAAATAAGCAAATAAATTTGTTTGGAAATTTTATAACAGAAAGCCAATTCCTGCAGAGTCAATCGGAGGTCTTGAAAACTCCGTATAATTGCGCTGCATTATACTGTGGGACAAACACATATTTCTTTTAATGTAAGAGGAAGAGTTTTTAAGTTTTCATTATTTTTTAATTTTAACACAAGTTGTAAAGTTATTCCTACAAAATTAAGTAGTGGAATTACTTTTATTTTCATAAATACAGTCAATTTCAATTTGAACTTAAGTAAATAACTGAAATTCAGTTTTAATTGCGTAGTTTCTAACATAAACATGTTCTCATATTTCATTTCACACCATGTTTTCATTTTTGATATTAAAGAAATCAAATAATTTATTTCTCTTCAATTAAACTATATTAAGGAAACTGTTTCTTTAATTATCGTCTAGTAAAAAAACTATAACATCATTGCTAAAACATGTATTGATGCCTTTTTGGCATTTTAAGAGTTTGAAATAATTTCTGATTTCAATAAAGAAATCAAATAAAAACTTTAAAGAAAAAACAGTTTAAAGAAAAATGAAGTGCTTTAAAGAAAATAAAGCATTAGGGTCATCAGATTTTAATATCTAAAACTAATCTCATAACTACTTCTCCTAAACATTTTTATTACGTTCTAAATTCTTATACATACAGTATATGTGCCCCATTATTTTCAGATGCCTGATTCACCCAAAAACGGTATGGCTCTGTGTTGTACAGATTCATTTAGATTACATTAATAACTTTTTGAAAGTATGCATTGTAAAACATATCTTCACATTATTTAAATTAAATAAAAACTGAATCGTGTTTATATTAAAGGAGGAGGATAGCAAGAATGCCTATATTTCATGTTACCTCATATTTACATCAAAACACATTTTCCGAATCC